GACGAGCCAAAGACGGCTTGTGTGACGAGGTATGGCTCTTACGAGTTTCTTGTGATGCCATTCGGTCTCACCAACGCACCAGCCACGTTTTGCACTTTGATGAATCAAGTGTTCGAGCCATTCTTGGACCGGTTTGTCGTGGTCTACTTGGATGACATCGTTGTGTATAGCAAAACACTCGATGAGCATGCTGAGCATCTACGCCAAGTCTTCCAAGTCCTTCGCGAAAACAAGTTGTACGTCAAGAGGGAGAAGTGCACATTTGCCGCCACGGAGGTTCCATTCTTGGGGCACATCATTGGTGGAGGCAAGTTGAAGATGGATGGAGCGAAGGTGCAGGCAATCCAAGAATGGGAGCCGCCGACGAAGGTGCTAGAGTTGCGGTCATTCCTCGGCCTTGCCAACTACTATCGGAGATTTATCAAGGGCTACTCCAAAATTGCAGCACCCTTGACGGATCTCTTGAAGAAGAACAAGGCGTGGGAGTGGTCGGATCGGTGCCAAGAAGCATTCGAGGCCTTGAAGCAAGCGGTGGTGAAGGAGCCAGTGCTCGTGCTCCCCAACCCGACGTTGGCCTACGAAGTGCAGACCGATGCATCCGACTTCGCGATTGGAGGTGTGTTGATGCAAGATGGGCATCCCATTGCCTTCGAGAGTCGGAATCTTAGCGAGACGGAGAGGCGATACACCGTTCAAGAGAAGGAGATGACGGCCGTGGTGCATTGCTTGCGCACATGGAGGCACTACTTGTTGGGGTCAAAGTTCGTAGTGAAGACGGACAATGTGGCAACGAGCTACTTTCTGACGCAGAAGAAGCTCACCCCTAAGCAAGCGAGGTGGCAAGACTTTTTGGCCGAGTTCGATTTCGTTATGGAGTACAATCCAGGCAAGGCGAACTCCGTCGCAGATGCTCTTAGCCGCAAAAGTGCAGCCGCAAGCATCAGCCAGCCCATGTTTCCTTTGAAGGAGCGGATCGTTGAAGGCCTTGGCCATGACCCCTTCGCCAAAACTGTAGCGGAGTACATCGAGCAAGGCAAGACTCGACGGTTTTGGATGAAGGATGGGCTCATCATGACCAAGGGAGAGCGAGTGTTCGTGCCAAGATGGGCCAACTTGAGGAAGGAGATCATGAAGGAGTGCCATGATTCCAAGTGGGCGGGCCACCCCGGCATCGAGAGAACGCAAGCGCTCATCGAAGAAGCATACTTCTGGCCGCGTATGAGAGACGACGTGGAGATGTATGTGAACACTTGTCTTGTGTGCCAACAAGACAAGATGGAGCAGAGAAGCCCGACATGCTTGCTAGAGCCCTTGCCCACACCTCAAGGACCATGGGAGAGTGTAAGCATGGACTTCATCATCGGACTTCCCAAAGTTGATGGATGCGGTTGCATCATGGTTGTGGTGGACAGGTTCTCGAAGTATGGAGTGTTCATTCCTGGCCCAAAAGACATGACGGCAGAGGATGCGGCACGTCTTTTCTTCAAGAACGTGGTCAAGTATTGGGGCATTCCTAGCAACATTGTGAGCGACAGAGATGGGCGCTTCACGGGCAGATTTTGGCGAGAGTTGTTCAAGATCATGGGCTCAGACTTGAACTTCTCGACGGCATTTCATCCTCAAAGCGACGGACAGACGCAGCGGGTGAATGCCTTGTTGGAAGTGTACTTGCGGCACTACGTGAGTGCAAACCAACGAGATTGGGTAAAGTTGATGGACACGGCACAGTTCTCCTACAACTTGCACCGCAGCGAGTCGACCAACACGAGCCCATTTGAGTTGGCGACGGGGCAGCAACCTTTGACACCTACGACGGTGGCAACGGGATATAGAGGCAACAATTCGGCAGCCTGCAAGTTCGCTAAAGGCTGGCACGAGAAGATGGAGATGCCAAGTCTTACTTAGCCCGCGCTAGTAAGAAGATGAAGAAATGGAAGGACAAGAAGAGGCGGCACTTGGAATTTGAAGAGGGAGACATGGTGATGGTCAAGTTCTACCCTCATCGCTTCAAGCATCTCAAGAATGTGCACAAGGGATTGCTTCGCCGCTATGAAGGGCCATTCCCCATCGAGAAGAGGATTGGCAAGGTGGCGTACAAGGTAGAGTTGCCGACGCACTTGGAGATCCATCCGGTCTTTCATGTGAGCCAACTCAAGCTTTTCCACGAAGACAAGGAGGACGAGCAGCGAAGAGAGTCGCAACGCGCACCAACACTCATCACCAAGAAACATGACCATGAAGTCGAAGAAATCATGGCGCGTCGTGTCATTCCTCGTCGTGGCGTACATCCAAGCTTTGTGGAGTACTTGGTCAAGTGGCGCAACCTTCCAGAAAGTGAAGCAACTTGGGAGAAAGAGCTCACGCTTTGGAGGAACAAGGACTTGATCGAGGCATTCCATCAAGAGGACGCGACGAGGCCGTCGCGAGCATAGGTGGGCGAGGATGTCACATGTGGCAGATGACATGGAGCCAACAAGGTGACAACAAGGCGGCTGCACATGTGGCATGTATGGAAGACTAGTAGCATAGAGATGCTCCTATGATTCTCCACCTAAATGAGAGCATAATGGTGCACTTATGGGCTACATTATGGGTAGCATTATTAGAGTGCATTATGGGGGGACTTTATGGGGTGTATTGATGTAGAGGGACCATTATGAGGGGCATTGATGCCTTGTATGAGGAGAGGTCTATATAAGGAGCCATCTCCCTCACTTGTAACTCATTCCATCATTTTTTAGAGTAATACACACTAGAGAGTTCTCCCAATCCTTTGTCTTTGTTCTTGTTTCTTTGCTTGCAAGTGAGTTGAGAGAAAGGCTGCCTAACGCTCTAATGGATTTGAGAGCTAGGGCCGCACGATCGAGAGTAAGGTCGTGACAGTACGCACTGGGGAGAAAAGGGATGTTTTCTGGAGGAATGAATTTTTGGAATGACAAGTTTGCCCTTGTTTGATTTTTACTCTTTATAACTTGAGTCAACGTATGTAATTCAAAAGTCAGATAAACTCTAGCTTTTTATTGGTCAGGTGTTAGCGTTGTCACAATAACAACAAAAAAGTTGTTATAGTATCCGGTCCCTCGAGATTGATTTGAAAAGATCCCATGACTTCCGTTTAAGGAAAGACTGCAAAGACCACACCTCATTTTTTCTATTAATGACTTCCTCACCCAGTTCAACTCGTCTATCTTTCCTTTGTCTTTTTGTTTTCTTCTCTCGATCCCAAGAAGAATAAGAAGGCAAACCCAAATCAATAATAATAAAAAAAGAAACGTAGGAAAAATCTAAAAAAACAATTAAATAAAAATAGAGGTGCCTTTTGTTTGTTCGATTAACGAACGTCACTTGTTAAACGGTTGTTAAATTGTTAGTCTAACCTTTACCAATTATATAAATAAAATGTTTCTATTGACTGAACCTAGTATTAGCACCATACTAACAAAAAAATGTTGATATTCTAGTGCTTTCCAATTTTCTTCCATGCACATGGTGACTTAGACCATCTTCATCCCCTTTCATATGCAATTGCTAAAACTTAGGGGTCGTTTGGAAGTTAGGAGTCTAGATGAGTGATTCTATGAATGTGTGTATTCTTTACAATCCATCGTTCTTTTGACATAAACTTATCCAAAATGCAAGCATTTAAATGAAACTTTAGAATCTCAAATGGTTAGAATCATCCATTTTAGAATCTCTACAAAAAGGTGAGATTCTCTTACTTTACTTTTTAATTGCTTTTTTGCACACTTATCCTTATTATTTTTTATATATTTCATATTTGCCCCTCCTTTAATGATTATATAAAGAGAACTTCAAGGCTATATAAGTCATTTTGGTCATTAAAGTGAGAATTCTTACATTCTTCAAAAGTAATAATCACAACTACCAAACAATATATTCTTACAATCATCTATTTCTTACAATCACTACACTTAGAATACATACATTGCAAGAATACACATAATCGTAGACTCCCAACTTCCAAACGAACCCTTAGTTGGCATGTGTTTGGCAATTGCTAATTCAATTGCAAGGATGTGGAGCCAATTGCTAACTTAGCAATCTTGCTAAATAACCAATTCCACTTGCAATGCCACATAGGATTTTATTTACCTTTTCTATGTTATCTTTATAGTTTAGAAAGTTAATTTTTTATAATGGAAGAATTGTTTATACATACATATGTGTGTGACCCCACAATAGAAATGGCTAAAACCTTGAAGGATGTGGATGACTTGAAAGAGCTATTGCTTAAGTGGTTGATATGACAGCGGGACGCATATATGAAATTGCTAAGTAATTGTAAGGATGGAGATGGTCTTAGCCGGAATATTTGGACAAAAAAAAAAAACAATTTTGGAATAACTTATCGGCATTGTCCCCACCTTTAGGAATGGCAATGGGCAGGTCCGGGGCGGGTTTCTCGATACCCATACCCGCCCCATGGCAGGTCGGGTTCGAGTCGGGTAATTTATCACGGGGAGCGGATCGGGGCAGGTCGACCCAATGGGTACATAATTTATGCGGAAAACATTAGAATTATTCGTTATTTTCACTAAAAGACCAAAAAATAAACCATAATACGGTAAAATGTAGTTAAATTATTGAAGAAATTGATGTTTTCACTTATTTACAACTTTATTATAGCTAAAATATAATATAATAAGAGGAAAAACCTAAGTAATTTTACTAAGATTACATGTAATTTAGGCAAGAATGGGTTGAGAATGGGGCGAGTCAGGGCAGGTCGGGTCGATGAGAGGTACCCATGCCCGCTCGCCCCGCCTACAGGGCGGGTCTGACCTACTCCAAAACAGGCCAAACAGATCGGGTAAATCGGGTCACGTCGAAATTGCCATCCCTACCCTCCGATTGGACAATACCACTAGAAGTTTGGGCTTCTTTGAGCCGGCCCACCAAGGAAACCCCAATTTTCCACGTGGCCAACTACTTATTATCACCCGTGGCAGGGTAGATAGAATCAATCGACAATCGCCATCACCAAATTTAGCTGCTTCTGTTGAACATTGAAAACACACTCCTCTGTTTTCCACCTGAAACATCAAGAACACTTAAAAACGAACCATCCAGAAGAAAGAAGAAATTCAGCAGCAAAAATGAGCGCGATCGTGAAGCTCGTGGATTTCCCGCTGTTCTTGGTCTTCTTCGTGGTCGCGCTGGCGGCGCCGCTTCTCGACGCGCAGACGTGTCTCCCTGCCTCCTATTTCCCGGAGGCGTTGATCAATTTTAAGGAGTGGTACCGCCAGCAGTACGGCGATTACCTGTTCTCCGAGAAGCCCAATTTCTTCGTCGGCACGGTCTGGCTCGAGCTCGTCTTCCAGTGGCCGCTCGCCCTCCTCAACCTCTACGCCATTCTGAGTGGCAAGCCCTGGTTCAACACCTCTTGCTTGATCTATGGCGTCTCCATCACTTCCTCCATGGTAGTAAATCAATCTCCACCTTTTCTCCGCAATTACCATATGAATGATCGATCCCCGATTCTGCCATTGAACCCCAATAACAATTTTGGTGTGGAAAATAGGGATTGCACTTTTTGATTTAAGGATGACACACATGTGTGTGTTGACCGCACGGGATATGACCCAGTGGCCGTGTCTCTTGCTGTTGATGGCCCGAATCCTAACATTGCACCCCTCGTGATGATTACGGCATCTGACTATGAGCCTTTTGGTGTTGGAATGAGTTGTGTCCCATTCAAAATGCCGAGTCATTGCTTCAGTCTCAAGGGCGTGCCGCACATCCTTCTTCGAGCCAAATTGTTGGCCCTTCGTAAACCCAGTGAGTGGGCCCCATATTGGGACCTCTGGCGGCTCCATGTCGCTGTCGACCATCCAATTGTCGTCTGGAATGTGATTGTAGTAGGGGACTGGTACACGGTCAGGAGCCACATCACCATCATTATCTGAACCCGAATCTGGTGCTGAATCATCAGCACCTTCAAGAGGGTCTGAGCTGTCTGCACTGACGTTGTTTTCTCCTTCTTCATCAGAGGGGTCGCTGACTGGTCCTGGTGTGGCAGCCTCCGTCTGATCCTGCTCATGAAAGGCACCTTCATCAGCTCCATAATGGTAGTTGTGAAAACTACCGCTGCCTGTCAGGAAGTTGTACTGGGCTTGGTTGGGGATGTCCGGTTGAACTTCTTCTTCATATGACGAGAACGATTGATGATGGCCTGCACCTTGCCCTCCATCTTGGTACTGAAAATAGGAATGAGAATCATGGTAACTTTGGTAGGGATGATCGTCATATAATTCACCTCCACCATGAATACCAGATGTTTGACCGTGTCCAGAATGACCTCCAACACTAACGGCTGGCTCGGTGTAAACGAACATCTCGGCTTTGGCCAATTTGTTGGACCTCAAGAATTCGAGCATGGAATCTACGTCATCTTGAGTGGTTATGGTATATTCCTCATGCCACAATGACCCAGTTGCTCTGTTTGGGTATCGGTACACCATACGGTCTACCCTCCTCGTGCCATCCATGCAAGTAACGTCAGTGCATATTCGATGGAGGTCTTCAAGCTTCGGTCTGGTACCGACCGTTACTTTCTGAAAATTGCCACCGACGTAGGTGGCCCCCTTTCCGGTGTCTTCCGTGTAACCATTCCACCGTAAGCCAAGCAACAACTGACGGAATGCCATCTGCACACAAACAAACCATAGTTTTAGTTAATATCATAAAAATCACAAATAAAAAATAACAATAAAAAGTAACACAAAATAAACTTACGAGTTAATGTTAATGCAATAAAAAGTCACACAAAATAAAGTTACGAGTTAATGTTAATGGCATAAAAAGTAACACAAAATAAAGTTACGAGTTAATGTTAATGGCATAAAAAGTAACACAAAATAAACTTACGAGTTAATCTTAATGGCAAACACACTAAATAAATATAGATATACAACAGAAAAATGAAAGAGAATGCGAGGGAGAATGAGAGGTGTGAAGAGTCTGTTTTCCGGCAAGTCTTATATAGGGGAAAAAATTGTGAAAACCGCACCTCTAGGGTGCGGTTTTAGTCTGCCATGCAACCCTACGTACATAATTCTCTGCATGTCTGTGATGGGTGTTGGAAAATAATTGACACGTAAACCGCACCTGGGGGGTGCGATCTACGTGGTGAAATCGCACCTTGCAGATGCGGTTCATGTTTGGAGAAATAAATCGCATCACCAAGGTGCGGTTTAGGTAGGTCAGGCCTAAACCGCACCTCGGCCATGCGTTTCATGTAGGCCAGACATGAAAACGCATGGGCAAGGTGCGATTTAGGCCCACCAAATTAGATCGCACTCTCAAGGTGCGATTTATGTGTAAAACGCACCTGGGGGATGCGGTTTATGTGTAAATCGCACCTGGAGGGTGCGGTCAATATAAAAGGGTGCTAGTTTTGTAAATATTTTTGACAGGGTGCTAGTTTTGTAATTTTTTTTTTTAAAGGTGCTATTATTGAAAAAATCTCTGTTATAGCACCCTAAAATCCTCCGTGTTTTCCACCTGAAACATCAAGAACACTCAAACGAACCATCCAGCAGAAAGAAGACATTCAGAAGCAAAATGGGCGCGTTCGTGAAGGTCGTGGATTTCCTGCTGTTCTTGGTCTTCCTCGTGGTCGCGGTGGCGGTGCCGCTGCTCGGCGCGCAGACGTGTCTCCCTGCCTCCTATTTCCCGGAGGCGTTGATCAATTTTAAGGAGTGGTACCGCCACGAGTACGGCGACTACCTCTTCTCCGAGAAGCCCAATTTCTTCGTTGGCACGGTCTGGCTCGAGCTCTTCTTCCAGTGGCCGCTCGCCCTCCTCAACATCTACGCCATTCTGTGCGGGAAGCCCTGGTTCAACACCTCTTGCTTGATCTATGGCGTCTCCATCACTTCCTCCATGGTAGTGAATCAATCTCCACTTTTTCTCCGTAATTACGATCTGATAGATCCCCGATTCTGCTCAAAAAGAATTTTGGTGTGGAAAATAGGGATTGCGCTTTTTGATTTTAGGGCCCGCCGCCCTATCCATTTATTGTGGAAAAGTCGAACACTCTCTTTGGCAATGTTTGGTAATTACTTTCCAAAGGGCGACCCTTGCTGTTGCTGAAGGGCATCTGTGGTCAGAAACAAGGGAAGATTTGTTAGGTTTTCTTGGTTTTGATTTGCTAAGATCACTGTAGAATTTTGTTTTGAATTGGTGATCAAATCTCCAACGACAGCTGACGTTTTTGTTCTTTTGGTCATTCTGTTTTGTGTCTGTTTCGTGGTTTAAATTTGCAGGTGCCTGTTTTATCAGAATTGATCCTGTCTGGGAAAGCATCCGATGAGCTGCTGATGCTGTACGCTCCTTTCCTGGGCGTCGGTGTAGTAGCCATGCTTCGAGGCTTTGTGCCACACTCTGCGAAGAGTGGTTCTGGAGTCGGGAAGAGAACTGCCTTCGGTAGGAAAAAGAGGGTTTGAGGAAGGATGTCTGTGTCAACCAATTTTTCTAGTCCTGCTCTTTTTCTACGTTTCAGTGACGATCAGTTTGTTCATTTTTACTCTTTTCTCTAGTTGACCATATGGTAGGATTCTTGTGAGTTTTGTGCCTGTTCTTGGAGCTTCCTTGGGTTGTTGAGTACTTGAGTGTGTAGTGCAGTTGTTATTCTTTAACCAGGGTTACGTTCTTGGTATCAGTTTGGATTCCTGTCTAGTGCTTTACTCGGTTGTGATTAGCTAGGTACTTCGCTTCTCTTCTCGTATAATCAGCTTGCTGTATAATATGGGTTGCTTAATGGATAGCTACGGCTCAGTCTTTTATCTGCTTCTCAACTCTGTTTAGTTTGCATGACTGTGCTTTGGCTTTGCCGGTGATGTTAAGCAGGCATTGACTAGTGACAGGTTCGCTCTCGGGGTGGGCATGAGTGCAGTCGAACGGCTTCAGAATCACACCGAACTGCAATTGCGGGCGAACCACATTGCCTCACGAAGCATGTCGTCTGCCTTGCAGTCTGTGTTTTAAGCGGTTCGCGATTTTTGGCTGAACCAAACTGTTGCGGTTCACAACCTATTTCCAACTATCATTTCCAGTTTCCCAATCTCTCTCAAATGATCCACGCCGCCTTCCCCATCTTCCCAATGCCTTTCATCATTATTCGCTGAGTTAGCTACTTGATCATCTTGTTAGATTTTCTGTTTACTTTTACTCCCCGCCATATGGGTCATTATGTGGGAATTGGGTTTAGCTTGATTGGATTTTGAAGCTTTCTTTGACTTTTGTGGCACAATTTTGAGGTTTCTCAAGTTCAGTGGAATATCAAGTAGAGTTGTCCATTTCTTGTCTAGCTTGATTGGTTAATACTTACTTTCCCTTGTCCTCATATGATATGGTGTGTCCGGAATCCCATCTTCATCGAAAAAGTTAAACTACTCACAAGATTTTTTGTGAGTAGATAATTGCATGGCTCAAATGGGTAAAGAAAAAAGAGAAGTGATGGCCCATTAAATTCCCAATCACTTTTAACTCTCTAACCCTCTTTCTCTCTCTCATTTCTTTCTTTGTTTTTCCGCCTGTAATGAATATTGGTCAGTGATAGATTTTATTATGTACTGATATTAGTATGTGATGATAGGATATAATGATGTTCATGCGATGGATATTAGTTTGTGAAGTAATGAATATTGTGTCTTCCATCAAAACTAAACACACTATCAAATCTTAACACATAAGGCTTGCAACCTTAGTTAGGGCTGCCCCCCGAGGGCCCATGGGCCTTCGGGCCATGAAACACCAATATTTGTTTGCAATGAATGGATATTAGTTTAGGTGGTTCGGATATGTGTAGTTGGTATTAGTCTGCGATGGACAGATATTAATCTGTGTGGTGGGTATCAGTTTGCGATGGCCAAATATTAATCTGTTCTTCATGGGTATTTGTCTGCGATTGTCAGATATTAGTATGTGTGAGGTGGGTATTTGTCTGCGATTGTCAGATATTAGTTTGTGTGAGGTGGGTATTAGTCTCTGTGGTGAGGATATTAATTATGGGCTGACTAGATATTGTTCTTAGAGGATATTTGTTATGGTGAACGGATATTATTCTGGTTGGTTTGGATATTTGTTTTGTGTGGATGTGTTATTTTAACGAAGTGATGGAAAGAGAGGAGGAGATTCGCAAATGATTTTTTTTTAATTTGTGGGCCCATTTTCTCTGTAGCTGGATAGTGAGAATGAGTCAGTCTTTTTTTAATTTGTGGGCCTCCTTTTCTCTGTCCCTGTGAGTATATACTCACAACTTACCTTGTGAGTAGGATAACTAGATTGCATCTTCATAGTTTGATGAATCTCCAAGGAATTTGATATTGAAAAAAACACTAACTCCCATATAATCCTGATATTTGTTTTGAGGTGATTGACTTCATTTCTTATGAGAAACCTAGCAGGATCTAGGGTTAGTGGAAGAAGACAACGACACTGTGATGGAGAAAGCGCAATAGAGAAATGATTCTCTCTGCTTCCCTTTTATATAAAACCAGAAAGTCTGTGCCTTACGCTACAAAACAGTAGAGATGGAAAACATAAAACGATAATTCAAAATGATTGTAAATGTAACTCCACGTGTTGCTCCTCCATTTGTAAAGGTTGGTTCCACCCAACGGTAAGTGTTCGAACTCCACAACGACGCTTTCTCGTTCTTCTACTAATCGATGAGTGGAATGGACTCAGAAATGTTTCCGTTTCTGGATAAGGTTTCTTCTTCGTTTCCCATGGTTCCTCTGCATCTTCAACTTTATTTCTTTTGCAGAGTATCTTCTTCATCATCTTTAATTAATACTCCCCCACAAGCTAGCGAGAAAGCATTGTGCACTCCCAGCTTGTCCAATAGAAACTTCAATCTGTAACATGTCATGTCCTTGGTAAACAAATCTGCAACTTGATCGTCATTTCTCACGTGAAACAGTTTTATCAATCCTGATTTTAGCCTTTCTCTTGTAACATGGCAATCGATCTCAATATGCTTCATTGTTTCGTGAAAAACTGGGTTTCCAGCATTATGCAATGCAGACTTGTTGTCACAGAATAAGGGAATCGATAATGGTACCTTGACACCCATCTCAGATAGTAGATTCCTCAACCATTGTACTTTGCAAACAACTTGAGCTAAAACTGTGTATTCAGCTTCAGAGGAAGACCTTGTAACTGTGGCTTGTTTCTTGGTCTTCCATGTAATCAACAAGGTGCCCAGAAATGTGCACTAACTAGTTAATGACCTTCTCGAGTCAGGACAACTCGCCCAATCAGCATCACAAAAATCAGAGAGTTCAAGTTTAGCATCATCCCTGAAAATCAACCCCTGTCCAAGTGTCTGTTTCAGGTATCTGATAACTCTGTGTGCAGCTTGCAAGTGGCCATTACATGGAGTTGATTGGAATTGAGCGAGCTGTTGCACTGCATATGTGATTTCTGTCCTCGTGATGGTAAGATAATGTAACATTCCTATAAACCTTCTGTAAACACTAGGATCAGGAAGCAATTCACCCTATTCTGCAGAAAAATTAGCATTACAGTCCATAGTGAAAGGCATCCTTTAGCTTCTAAAAATCATGTATCATCAAGCAACTCAAGGCAATACTTTCGTTGGCAAACAGAAATCCCTTTGTGATCTCTTATTACTTCAAATCCAAGAAAATAACTCATTTGTCCCAAATCCTACACTTTGAACTCTTTGCTTAAGAAGGTCTTAAGTTGTTATGTCTCCAAGATAACTCCCAGCAATTAGAATATCATCAACATAGACTAGCACAACCACAACTCTTCATTGAATCCATCGTACAAAGATAGAGTAATCAGTGGCAGTTTGAGAATAACCATTCTTAAGCAAAGCACTAGTGAGTTTTGAGAACCATTGCCTGCTGGCTTGCTTAAGGCCATATAGAGATTTTTTAAGTTTAAATACCGAGCCTGAATCCTTAGGTACATCCACCCCAGGAGGAATTTCCAAGTAAACTTCTTCATCTAAGTCACCATGTAAAAAGGTATTGGACACATCCATCTGATGGATATGCCAATCCTTAGCAGCAACTACTGCTAATAAAGTCTTCACAGAGTTGATCTTGGCTACTGAAGAATAGGTGTCCAGAAAGTCTATCCCATAAATTTGAGTGTAGCCCTTGGCTACTAATCGTGCCTTAAACCTTTCAATAGCACCATCTGACCTGTATTTCACTTTGAAAAACCCACTTAGCTCCTATAGGTTTCTTCCCTGCTGGCAACTTAACCACTTCCTAGTTCTGATTTTCATACAAAGCAAAATTTCTTCCTTACAGGCCTACTTCCAACGTGGATCCTTACATGCTTCAGCATAAGAAGTTGGTTCTTCAATAGAAATAACACTAAGGGAAAAAGCTCTCTGATGTGCAGTAAGATGATCATATGCAACCAAATGAGATATATGATGTTTGTTGCTTACAACAACCATGCTCATATGATAATCTTTGTGTAAAATAGCAACTGTACGATGCCTAGTGGACTTCTTAATGAACTCAGCTTCATCATTATCATTAATTTAAGGAAACACTTCTATTTCCATATCCTCTCCTCAGACTGCAAACTGATAGGTGGAACACTAATGGAAGGATCAGGTAGTGTAGAAGGACAAGGAATAGAAGAGGAGGAAGAAGGTGTAGAAAGACTAGGAGTGGAACTAGAAGCCTGATCAGCTTTAGGATGAGAAGTGGAAGATTTTGCTGGTTGAACATAAGGAAGAATAGGAGAAAGATGAGGTGTAATGAGGTCAGGAGAAGAAGGTAGGTCTGGCTGATCAACAGGGAGACAAGAAGAAAATTGAGGTGTGACTAGATCAGATGAAAAAGAAGGAGAAATTGGAGTGGTTTGAAATGGTAAGATGGTTTCATAAAAGACCACATCCCTAGACACAAAGAAGGAATGTGTATTGATGTCAAAGAGTTTAAAGCCTTTGATTCCAGTGGGGAATCCAAGGAAGATACACTGCCTGGCCCTTGAATCAAACTTATTTCTATCCCTGTGAAGAGAAGAAGCATAGCAAAGCGATCCAAAGACCTTCAGATTAGTGAGGAGAAGAGGTTTCTTGTAGAGAATCTCATATGATGACTTGTTATCAAGAACTGGGCTAGGCAGTCTATTGATCAGATAGACAGCATGAAGAACACAGTCACTCCAGAATCTAAGCGGTATGTCTGATTGAAAACGAAGTGATCTAGCAACATTTAGAATGTGCTGATGCTTTCTTTCAACTCTAGCATTATGTTCTGGAGTTTCAACACAAGACTGCTGGTGAATAATTCCTTTATAAGTATAGAAATATGCTAGATGAAACTCAGAACCCTGGTCACTTCTAATAATCTTAACAGATTTAGAGAATTGTCTCTCAACCATAGTACAGAAACTTTGCAACAAGTAACCAACTTCAGATTTAAATTTCATCAAAAACACCCACACAGGTCTTGTAAAGTCATCAACTATTGTGAGAAAATATGCATAACCTTCATGATATTTAACTGACAAGGGTCCCCAAATGTCTACATGAACCAAAGCAAAAGCATCAAGTGCTCTACTACTACTGACAGGAAAAGGAAGTATTTTCTGTTTGTCAAAATGAAAAGTAGAACAATAGGAAACTACAGCTCTATCACTAGGGAACAACTGTTTTTCTTTGTCCTTGTTGGGATGCCCTAGTCTCTAGTGCCATAGTTGAATGTTTTATGGTTGAAAATTATAAGAAATGGCTGCTTGAGGTGTAGGAAGAAGGGGTGCTTTATCCTTGGTATGAGTTTGGTATAATCCATTACACTATCATGCCAACCAATCCTTTTCAGGGTCAGCAGGTCCTGAATTTGACAAGAATCAGATTCAAAGTGTAAGGATATTAGCTTATCATGTGTTAATTTGATGACTGAGATAAGATTAAAAGTGAAACTAGGCACGAGGAGCACATCATCAAGAGACAGATCATGAGAAAGTTGAACTTTTCCTACATGACTAACCATTACTCGAGTTCCAGTTGGTAGATAAACAAACTGATCAGTGACTGGTTCTAACTCAGAAAACAACCCAATATTGCAAGCAATATGATCAGAAGCCCCAGTATCAAGAATCCAGAACTGGGAAAGAGATTCTGCTTTATGTTGCATGTAAGAGGACAAGATGAACTTACTAGCATAGGTAGGAAACCGAGGAACACTGTGTGCCACAGAGAAAGCCAAGTGATTGAGAGAAGGTGAAGCTGAAGGTGAAGGACTGGGAGAAGGGAAAGTCTGCAGTAGATATCCGAGCTTATTCAGCTCCTCAGTAGAGAAACTCAAGCTCTCTTTAGAAGAGACACTTTGAGTATCATTGCTCATCTTCGAATCTGAACTTGTAGAATCACTCTCAGTGAAAGATTCCCCATGAGTTACTACTGCAGCAACACCCCCAATCATTCTAAGCTTCTAGTTCTTTAGTCTGTAGCATTCTTCCTTTGTACGTCCATCTTTCTTACAATATCTTCAAAACTTCTTTCAATCCTGTGAATCTCCTTGTATAGCCAAAGCAACAGTTTGTACTCCTCGAGTAATGCCTTTATTCCCCATGAGAAACCTAGCAGGAGCTAGGGTTAGTGGAAGAAGACGACGACACTGTGTGGGGAAAGCTCAAAAGATAAATGTTTCTCTCTGCTTCCCTTTTATATAAAACTAGAAAGTCTGTGCTTTACGCTACAAAATAGTAGAAATGGAAAACATAAACGGTAATTCAAAAATGAGTGTAAATGTAACTCCACGTGTTGCTCCTCCATTCGTCAAGGCTGGTTCCTCCCAACGGTAAGTGTCCAAACTCCACAACGACGCCTTCTCATTCTTCTACTAATAGATGAGTGGAATGGACCCAGAAACTTTTCCATTTCTGGGTAAGGTTTCTTCTTCTTTTCGCCTGGTTCCTCTGCATCTTCAACTTCATTTCTTCTGCAGAGTATCTTCTTCATCATCTTCAGTTAATATTTCTCATATGGCATTCACTAGAATTGAGAACTGCACGGGGTACAAAGATCAAAATTTATGCATTCACAAACGTACATTCTGAATAGACTATTAGACAAAGCTTGAAGTTATTTCACGATGACTCCTGAGTTTGTTGTTACCTCTGGTTGTGAATTGTCGAAAGTCCCTTTGCCCGTTGGTGGGTTTTCTGCTCGTCGTGGTTATTTATGATAAAAGCTCCTTGTAGTATCCTTTTAAAGGTTGGTTAGGTTTTCTTGCACAAGAATGTGTGGTTTCGTTGTTGAATCTCCCACTTGAATATGATTTCCCCATAATTCAATGGGTTGTAATATTTGATAGCTAGAGCAAATGATGAATATGTGGATGTTCTTGCATTATAGACCTTTAACGTGAAGCTGGTTAACTGCATGAATCTGGTTAACTTGCATTATAGACCTAAGTGTGTTGCAATTTGTAAACACGTAAAGTAGGTATTTTCCTTCCTCTAGCGGTAGATGCTATCATGATTAATTGCACATAATTGCCTCATAAATTGTTGCATTTTAACCTACGATCTCTTCATAATCATTACGAACTAGTCATGGGGGTTGAATGCGACTGTTTAGGTGAAATCAAGTCAAATTCAACGTAAGTCTAGGGTGTTGGTTAAATTCCAAACATCATGGTAGCAGACAGAAGACCATGAAAATGATTCCTTCTCGCAATCCGAGTTCACGAGCAGTTTCAAAAAAGCACGTCATGATCTCGATGCTCAGACTATGAACTGTAGCACAAAATAAAAAAAAGTATCATAGATTAACGGTATGATTCACGGAGAGTGTCAGACAGTGATTTTGTCATCACGGGTGCGACTTCAGAGATCACGATCGTAAAGTTAGAAGCCACGATCCTCAAAGTCAACCGTCAATTGGAGCAAAGCACCGTCGTTTTTGAAGTTCACGGATCAATTGAAATTTCATGGCCAAGAATATGCCGTCAAATCGTTTGTCCCATCCCATGGGCTTTAAATAGCAAAATCACACATTAAGAGAAGAGGAATGCAAATTCATCAGAGGTGCTGAGATTACTCTCCAATGAGTATGCTCTCCGAACACTCTCCGGTGACGACTTTGGCTCAGGCAGGTCGACCGCCGGATACTATCACTTCACCGTCATCCTCTTTGGTTTCTTCTCCAAGCGTGCAGCAGGGGGGATCATCCTCTTTGATTTCTTCTCCGAGCGTGCAACAGGGGGGGATCACAAATGAAAGAGGATAATCCTCAAAGCCTGAACTACAAGGCCGCCCTGGCTGGTGCTGGGGGCGATACATCGCCCAAGCGGAGTGCCTGGACATTTGTGGGCTCTCATGATATAGAAGCTGGATCTTTCAATGGAGAACCGGAGCTGAAGATCTCCCCTGGTTTCAAAGAGAGATTATGCATTCCTTGGAAGAAGATGCTAGTTCTCCATCTTTTGGGCCGATCAGTCTCTTACACCTATATGTGCTCCCAACTTAGGTGGAAATGGAGACCAGCGGGCAATCTGGATATCATGGATCTAAATAACCAGGCTTTCTTGGTGACGTTTAATAATGATCAGGACTATCTTCATGCGCTGACAGGAGGTTCGTGGACAATCCTAGATCATTATCTCCTTGTTCACGAATGGTCTCCAAGTTTCATAACATCTGATCAGCCTTTCAAATCGGTGGTAGCATGGGTTCAATTTCCTGAACTCCTTGTCCATTTCTACCATCGGGAAGTGTTGTTTGCCCTGGGGAACTTAATCGGCAGGACCATCAAGCTAGATTACCATACTGAACACCTGGAGAGGGGAAAATTTGCTCGGCTAGCTGTTGAATTGGATATGACGAAGCCTCTCGCTACCAGAATTCGGCTGGATGGAGCTTGGCAGCAGGTTACTTACGAGAACTTGCCCCAAATCTGTTTTGAATGCGGCAGAATCGGGCACAATGAGGACCGCTGCTCGAAGAAACTGGGAGCAAGCTCCCCGTTGACGGTGGCGATGGAGACGAACTCTGAAGCACGATCATCGGAACAGCCATCGGAGCCTCCGCCGGCTACGGGCCATGGATGCAAGTGACACGAAAAGCGCGGAAACCGAATAGGAAACCATGAGCAATCAAACCCAAACGGTAACCAATCAGCAAGGCAAAGGGGGAAATTCTGAGAAGATCATGGCGAAAATCACTCATTTAGGGAAAGATGCTCAGGCAACAGGGAATAGGGAAGGAAAAGGAAAGGAAAAGGAAAGGGCACTGAAACAGGGCATAAGAAGGAAGGGAATGGAAAACAAAAAGGGAAAGTGAATGGTGGTGTCGTGGAAGGGGCCAAGGGAGGCACAAGCCAAATAGGGTTTAAGGAATGGAGGCCAATTGGCCAAAGCTGGGAGATACACCCTCCAAAGCCCAAGTCAATTTTAGTGCCGTCAAGTCGAAAGGGTCGGAGAAGAAAGAGTCGACTAATAAGGGGCAAGAGGTAACGAACTCCCCTGTCATGGGCCAAAAAAGATATATGGACCTGCAAATAGGAAACCCGGTGGATATGGCCCAACCTTCTCCCTCTGTCAAACATCGCCATCACAAGAACAATTCCGGCCACCATCGTGCGAGTGGCGTCAAGAATCGTGTCAATCTCAAAGTTGGGGTAAAGAAAACGAGTAAAGCCAATCCTAAATCTAAACGTGATCTCAAGCAAAGAGTGACGGCTAACTCTTTCCCCATCACTCAGCAGGTGATTGAGGAGTTCTTGGCACAATCCCAACAGAAGGAGGCAGAGTTCTTGGCAATCTTGAACGAAGCACAGGAAGATGTACCGATGGGGGAGGAACGGATTTCTTCCCAAGATATTTTGGTATATCAAGGTAATAGCGAGTTACCCTAAGCTATTGCAGCAGGATGATATCCGAGGATAGCCTTGTGGTGCCATGCGGCTACTCTTCAGCGCTGGTCCTATGTACGAGCTGGGTTCTGGCCCTTTTATTTATCTATTTTTCTATGGTTAAGATTATTTCATGGAATTGTAGGGGTGCTCGGCACCCAAAATTCAAGTCCGCCTTTCTAGATTATAAGTTGGCCAATAGACCGGATGTGGTGATCATCATTGAGCCGCTAATTAGCGGCAAAGATGCTGATGAAGTTATAGGCCAGCTGGGTTTTGATTCGCAGGCTATCTCTGATGCTGAGGGCTTCTCAAGGGGAATTTGGGTGCTGTGGCAGAAAGGATGCATCAATCTGGAGGAGAAAATTATACATAGACAATTTGTCCATTTATGCTGGAAAGAAGAAGGCGCTAGAAAGGGATTCATCACTGCAGTCTACGGTAGTCCAAATGAGGTTGAACGCCAGCAAGTTTGGAAGGATTTGATTAGACTGGGGCGGACAATCCATGAGCCCTGACTGATCCTGGGTGACTTCAACTCAATTGCTCACCCATCGGAGAAACATGGTGGTGCGGGGTTTAACCCAGTGAAGACCATAGACTTCAACGAGTTTATTTCATCTTGCAGCCTCATCGATGTGGGATTCGTGGGACCAAAGTTTACTTGGTTTACAACGAGGATGGCGTTAAAAGAGAGGCTTGATCGTGCTCTATGCAATACAGCTTGGATGCACGCCTACCCGGAGACAACTAATCACCACCTGCATCGTTTAAGATCAGACCATAGACCAATCTTGGTGGATGTGAAATCAGGGTGCCCTTTGGGGTGAAAATTATTGTTGGTCACTAAACTTGCTCTATTAATTCATGTTTACCACTAAACTCGTTTTTAATTTAACTAAACCACTAAACTTAATATAAAAGATTGCCATCCATCACTTTCGTTCAAATCTCACGGATGTCATCTTAACGGCGCTGACAAAGCGCTAACGGGGATGACGTGGCGACACCTAATCTCTATTATTCCACGTAAGCAATTTCCTTGCTTAATAAAAAACTCTACCCAAAGAAAGAAAAAATCCCTAACCCTTAATTTCCCCCCGTCAATTAACCTCCAAACCTCTCGGCTGTTCATCTTCCCCAAAAGCTTCCAAGTCGGACGAAATAACCATTGATCATCCTTGACCTCTGCACTGCAATGCCGCCGGACAAACCAACTAAAAGAAGCATAAGAGGTAAGCTTGATTATGGTAATAGTTGGAGTTATATATTCTGTTATATATTCTTAGGGTTTTGGTACCGGCAGTAAGAGCCTAAGAGGAGTGTGGACGAGGCCGGTGCGGCGCAATCCGTAACTGTGGGTACTGGGCAGGCTTATATGGGTTTATGCATATGTGAGATTGAAATTGAAGGAAGGGGTATGTTCTTAGTCTTTGCTGTCTTTAGGGAGACATGTAGCAGTAGCAGGCAACAGTAGAGAATGGAATTTGCAGAATGCATATGGACCACTTTTAATCTTCTCTATGCCTTGCCTTTTTGTCTTTTTTCACATTTTTGTCTCTAGTAACAAGAGAAGGAAAAGCTAAAGAGAGATGGGTGGGTATGGGATTGAAACATGAGGCACGTAGGCGGGTGGGGTTTGTCAGTTCACAGATCACTTTTAATCTTTTTTATATGTTCTTTTGTCTTCTTGCATACTTTTGTTTCTAGTAACAACAAGCTAATTATTGTTTTATGCAGGTGTCAACGACAATAATACTGAAAGTGCGAATATGACAAGAAACTCAAAGAAGCATACATTCAGAGATTTGGCAAATAATTTTGCAGAAGATGCATTATCTGAAAGCAGTGATGTGAGTTCTGATTTTGAGGTACATTTTGAGGACAGTGATTATGATTTGATGGATAAGGAAGATGATTTGATATATGATAATTATGTCGATGAAGAAGTGGAAGCTGGAAATGGATTTGATTTTCAATTGGAATGTGCATCGAATCCGCAATCACCTGTTGCTTATGATGATGATATTGCTTATGATGGTGACGGGGAGCTTACTCATGTGGTTGAGGATGGAAGTGAGATGAAAGATGGATTTCCTGAGTTCAATGCAGAAGCGAATATGAATGATCCAGTATTTTTTGAAGGTCTCAAGTTTAAATCCTTTGATGAATTCAAGGAGGCAGCAAAGCATTATGCAATAAGACATAAAAGGAACATTCGGTTTAAGCATAATGACAAGTTGAGGGTCCATGTTGTTTGCCAAGATGGTTGTCCATGGGAAATATGGGTCTCCTACATGTCTAGTGAGAAGACACCTCAAATCAAGACATGTCGTATAAATCATAGTAAGCATTGCAAAAAAGTGTACAATATCAGATTCCTCACAGCCAAGTGGATAGCACAAAAGTACCTAGAGAGGGTTAGAGTTGATCTTGCATGGTCTTGTCCCCTTCTAATCCAAACTGTCAAGGAAGATTTGATGCTAACCATGAGCATGCCTAAAGCTCAAAGGTGTAGACGTGAGGCTTGGGTACTATTAGGTGGGCAAGAGAAAGATCAATACGAAAAATTATATGATTATGCAGGGGAGATTCGAAGGACAAACCCAGGATCCATAGTGATCATTGAGCAGATTGGAGGTATTTTTGAGAGGATGTACATGTGCTTGCAAGGATGCAAAGACGGATTCAAGGCAGGATGTAGAAGGTTCATATCCATCGATGGTTGTTTTATCAAACCTGATATTGGGGGACAATTACTAACAGCTATTGGTGTTGATCCTAATGATTGCATTTTCCCCATTGCATTTGCCTTGGTGAAGAAAGAAAACAAAGCTAATTGGCAATGGTTTATTAGAAACTTTTTTTTTTTTTTTTTATAATGGGTTTATTAGAAACTTGGTTGAAGATCTTGAAGTAGAAAATAGTCCCAGATGGTGCTTTATGTCTGATCGTCAAAAGGTAATTAAGATTAATTATTATTAATAACTTAGATGTTATCCTTCTAGTTTGATGTCTTATGTTCTTTCTAATATTTGAATTTACAATCACTTGTAGGGGCTAATTGCAGCCTTAAATGATGCAAGAGATTGGGAGGCAAAGTGAGAAGGCAAAGAATTGGTTGCATGAGAGACCTTTTAGAGAGTGGTCAAGAAGCCATTTTCAAGTTCTATGTGGGTGTGACATGCTTCTCAACAATCTATGTGAGTCTTTCAATCGTTGCCTACTAGATGCAAGGTGTCAACCCATTATCTCCATGTTTGAGGCCATTAGATGCATACTAATGAGACGTATGCATGTGAAAAACAAAGTTGGTGGTAAAATGACTGGTCGAATTTGTCCCAAAATACAAACAAAATTGGAAAAGCTGAAAGATGAAGCAGCAAAAGGTTGTACAGCTACTTATGATGGAGAGAATCAATACCAAGTTAGGTCCTTTGATGGACAAGTAGTGGTGAACCTTGCTGAAAAGACTTGTGCATGCACAAAATGGCAGCTTTCTGATATTCCTTGTAAGCATGCTATATGTGCAATTTGGGAGGCGGACGAACATCCAGAAGATTATGTGGGTAGTTGGTATACTGTTGATACCTATAAAGAAGTTTATAACCATTTTGTCCATCCTACCAATAGCAGTGATATGTGGAAAGATAGTGGTAGGGATCCCATTCAGCCACCTCCTATAACTAAGGAAAGAAAGATGAAGAAGGGAAGAAAGCCTAAACAAAGGAGGAAGGAGAGTGCTGAGTTGGAAAACACAAGTAAGAATGGAAAGCATAGACTGAGCAGGAAGGGAGTGAAGCTAAAATGCTCTGTATGTCGTGAGCATGGGCATCGGAAAGACTTCCACAAAAATAATCCATTACCACAACAAGAAGGTGAGCAAGGAAACTCCACTACACAGGCTACTACTTCTAGAAGAATGAACAAATTACCAGTAAGTTAAAAAATTTGTTCCATATTTGAAAATACATCATTATTTTGTACTGAGAAATTTGAATGTTAATGTTTAATATATTATTGTAGATTCAACGTAAAATAATCGGAGTACAACAAGGTATGACCCAATCTTGCTTTCAAGCATCACAGGTGTGTATCACAATCCCAATGCCTTTTGTCTAGATGATGTATGTTTAGAGAATGTTCTTTAAATGATGTTTGTTTGTTTTTTGTGATAGGAGAGTGACATTTTATTTCAGAGCT